GAACTGTTTACTAAGAAAGAGGCCCATAGCCTCTGTTAGCTCTGATCCCTGCTCCAGCTCAAGGGTCAAAGGTCCACAGCAAGCCTGGACTTAAGGACCCTTCAGTTGCTCCACAGTAGTTAAGGAGGGGCCGGCCTTCTGTTGTGAAATCTGGCTACATCTGTAAGTGGGATTTTCTACACAGAAAGTTAAATTTCATGTTTTAATTGTATTCAAAAGACAACAGTTAAATGTAAATATTAGAGCAAATGTGGATGTAACTTAGAGCGTATTCCCGTGGCTGTCACAAATAATCCCCGTATCAGGGTTCAACCATGCTTTCCTGCACAAAAACCTCCTGATTTATGTACCTGAAAATGTATCTTAGCAACAGCTGCGAGGGACATGCACTGAGAAACTCTCTAGGCTGTGTCTAGAGGGAATTCCAAAGCAGAGGTTAAATGTGATTTAACATGTTCTTTAAAATGCACTTGACATGCAGTTGAATTAATTTTAAACAGGGGGAAAAAGGCAATTTGTCTTCCTAGCTGGTAGATTTGTTTACTTTTAAAATATGCATCTCCACATCATGGTAGGAATTATGGGGAAAGATTTATAGTGTATTTCTGGATTTGGCAGTATTAGGATTCTGTAAAAAAGAAAAATTAAAAAGGTGGTTTGGGATTGAAAACAATTCTGTTTCTTATACATTTCTGTCTGTTAACTAAAAATGGTGCTTTTTTCTGATAGGTTTATTTTAAAATAGGGTTTAAAAAGAACTATTCTTTATTTTGATTCTTAAAAAAGAATTATTCATTTTTATTTTGAAGTAATTATACAAGAGGTTGCAAAGAAATGTACAGGAATATCCCACATACGCCTCCCCCAAGCCCCTTGAAAAATCTATTTGGACTATTTTCTTATGAAAAAAAGGAAAGAAGTTCAAGGTTTGAATTGGAAAGCCGGTTGTTTCGCGTTGTTTCCTGTCTAACCCTAAAGCGTGGTGTAGATCCGAGGGTTGGACCCAGGGCAGCTCGTTTCACTGGTGCAGAGATGGATGGCCATCAGCAGGGGGCGCAACAGGGGCACCAGGCTTGCACGGACTTTGTAGCCATTCAAAGTGGGAATGACTCCTCCCACCCACCCATGCAGACTTCAAAGTGACTGGATTTAGGTGAGTTTACGGTAGTTATAGTGGCTACGCGAAAGGAAAGGGAGCCATACTGAGTACACTAATTTGTATGTATAAACACACAGCATAGGCCACATGCTAATACTATGTGATGATTAATCTGTTTTCTTTGAACCAAAACACTTGTTTCGAACTAAGAGTCTCACCCCAGTGATGCTTGAGGAAATGTCAGGCTGTTTTCCCAGGCTCAGCAGGTGACAGCAAACTCTAGGGGCAAAACTGGAAGCCCAGGGATGCCAACAGTAATGGGCTATTTGCTTACAATTATTAACTCACTAGAAAAAGAACAGTTTTTTTGGGGGGGGGGGTAAAATGCCTATCTTTCTCTCAGACTGCTGGCTCTCTGTGAGTAAAGTGCACCTCATAGGTTTAATTCCTGCCTCTGCTCATTGGCTTCTGACAGAGCCAGGCAGCCTGACCCCAGCATTTCCCGCTACAGCTTAGAATGTGCATTGTGTGGAGAGCAAATTCAATTTAGGTTTTGCCTTCAGCTCTAATACTCTAGCCCTTATCTTTCTAGGAGAAGAGACTTTTTTTTTTTAAATAAAGGAATGTTAGTGCCATCAAGGAGGGAGGAAGGTCATTAACTTAAGACAACATCACTTAACTGTTTTGAGAGCTGAGGAACTTAAAACTCTCTTGCTTCAAGCACAGAATTATGTTAAGGAAGGATAACATTTGAAATTGTACTTTAATTCTATATTTTGCTTAGTGAGGAAGATTAAAGAGAAGAGAGTAAATCTCAGATGCAGAGAGAAATCAAAAGGCAAAGAGGGCATGAGGATAGGAAAAGAGACATTACTCTTAGCTCAAAGGTAGAGTTTTGGGAGGATTTTGAGTTTTAGATCAGTTAATGGCCCTCTTGGGCCATAAGTTTCATAGCAAGATTTCTTACTACTGCCTTTTGAAATGCTTAATTATTAGCCATGCATCCTTGCTTCTCATAATGCTGTAGGTATTCAAGCGTCACCCAGTGGACAGCCACAAGTACATCATGAGATCCTTCCCTAGACTGCAAGAGCAGACAGACCTTGTAATGCTGGAGATGCCCCAGCCTGCCACAGAGAAAAACTTGACAAGGAAGCGGACCAATGTGAAGTCTATCAGCAAACTGTATATCAGTTTCCTTAAGGAAGTCCATTATTTTCATGCAGATTCAATAAGTACTATGTACCATTTACCTGCTTTGACGATAACTCTTCATACAATTCCTTATCACCTTCCCTCCCCAGCAACCACCAGTGTAACTTATACTGACTTTTCCACTGTCAACCAGAGACTCAACTACAGGGTATAGCCAAGTTTTCTCAATTCTTTGTTTTCCTTCTGGCTATACCTGACTGCCCCCAACCCTGGGCAGCCCAGGGCCACATTTACTTGTTGAATGACTAGCTACTTTAACATGTCTATCATTAACACTGTGACCCTACCCCTCCAGAGTGGTATCAGATCTACTGCATGGACATCACCTGGGAGCTTGTTAGAAATGCAGAAGCGCAGGTTTCAGTTTAGACCTTCCGAATCAGAATCTGCCCATTGGCACAATCCTCTGGTGATTCACTTAAGCACATTAAAGTTTTGGAAGCACTTATGGGCTTTCTCATCCTTTTCTACTCCACATTGCCATTTCTTCTACCAGAAACCACACTTAAGTTACCTTGAGACCTGGAGTTTCTTCATAATGTTCATATTCATTTTTTAATCCCCTAGTATACACAAAGAATAGTTCCTCAAACCCTCTTTCTATTCTTCAATTCCTGATTCCCATTCTTGTCGTCTCTCTCTCCCTGTTCAACATTACATAAATCAGGTGATCTTGTTTTGCTAGTATTTTTCCTTTTATGTCCCAATACATTTTTGGTCTTCTGCCACCCTCTATTTTTTCTGGTCTCAGAGGATCTTCATTTCTAAGATAGTTCTTCTGCCTGTGCCTTTTATACATATCCCTTTTCCTCCTTTTGGGATTGCCCTGTCTTACAGATCTTTTCTCTTCCAGAATTATGTCTATCATCTCCACTAAGTCCTTTCTCTTGCATAAGTTTTAAGAGAAATCACAACATAGACCCACAGAATCACTTGACTCTCCTCCCTCTGGTTTGTATTCTGTTTATTCTTTCATAATCAGATTTCTTAAATGGTGTAGAGTAGTGGTTTATACCCTCATTTTGTGTAGAGATATTTTTGGTCACTGCAACTCTGGGAGCCGCTACTGTAGTTAGTGTGCAAAATTGAAGGACCCTATTCAAGATCCTATAAGGCATAAGCCAACTATCTCTACCCCCAAATAGTTGTCTGGCTAGGATTCCCAACCATCCTGGTTTGCTTCAACTCTTCCCAATACAACACCAAAAATCCTGTGTCCCAGGAAACCCCTCTGGCCTGAATGTTGTGGGATGGTTGGGTCACCCTATGTCTGGCCCCAAATATCAAAAATTCCAAAAATAAGAAACCCATCTCTGAATGGAATATCCATAACTTCGTTTTTTTCTGTCTCCCTTTCAATATGACATTTAATTTCGATGTTGTACTGAAACATTATTTGAAAGTCAACTATGGTCACCTTCCAGTCATGACATCTAATGGCCTTTATTCCCCTCTTTCGACTTTTTTTTTGATCTTTTCCAAGCATTTGAGACTTCAAAACTGACACTTTGAAGCCTCTTCCTCTTGTACACTTCTATCTTTCCTATCCTTATTACGGTGCCTTTTCTCTTTTTAAATTGCTATTTCTATTATCTCTTAAATGTAGATATTCCTTCATTAGGGTTACTTGTCTCTTTTACTACAGAATATAATGCTTAGCTTTAGATCTCATCTTTACTAGTTGAATCCCCTGTCTCCTTCTTGAGTCTTAGTCTTTCATTTCCAGTTGATGGAGGGGTTTCCTTGCTATCCAGAAAAATCTAAAACTCAACCTGAGTAGTGGCAAATTAAGAAGAACATTTCATATATTGGCAAGGAGCAAAGGAAAGGAAATGGCCTGGGTTTTACTTTTCAACCTTAGCATCTACTTTGGTCCTCTGTAACCCTTCAACTCCATGCAAGTGGGCAGCTGTCCATGCACTTAGCTACCTCTGCTTTCTTCCTTCCATGGTTTTGTTTCATGTCTTCATACTCATTGGAAAACACTTTTTTTTTTTCCTTCTTCAAATCTTCCTGATCATTCTAATTAGGAAAGTACAGAATAATGAAATAGTGGATTGGGAATCAGAATACCCATTTCTGCTACGTTGGGAATAAGGGCCCTGCCTGGTGGCATAATGGGTTAAAGCACAACACTCTAAGCTACCTGCAGCCAGCCGCTTCAGCACAAGTTCAGTCCCCAGCCAGGGAGGGGACGCACATGGCATGGCAGACCTCTCCTATCTGGCCTGCTGCTCCCCTCAGCAGTGTATTTCATCAATATGCCTGTTCTGCCCCCCAGCCCCCCCCCCACTCTATCTCTGGTGAATTCTCTCACTGCCCCTTTACCTCTGGCTTATACCCCAGTTCTGTATGCATAGATAAATCTTAAAAAAAAAAAAAAAGAAAATATGAATTGTCAAATGTTTTTGTTTGACTTGAACTCTAACAGCACTTTGGGCCCTTCATGTGGAAACTTGCTATCTTTTGTTTGTAGTGACAAATACAACAAACTTTTAAAAAATGAGGACCATAAATTAAACTCTTCCATACTTTCTGTCATTATGCACATCATATTAACAGATTGAGTCAAGACCAGTGAAATAATAGTAATTCCATCTGTTATTCAGTCTTTATTAATTCTAAATATTGTGTACTGTATAAATTTATCCCCTTTCCTTTTTTGTTTTTTTAATCTTCAATTTAGGTGATGTCTTTCCAGTGCAAATGAATCCGATCACTCAATCTCAGTTTATTCCTTTGGCTGAAGTTCTTTGCTGTGCTATATCTGATATGAATGCTGCTCAGATTGTAGTAACACAGGAATCACTATTGGAACATTTGATGAAACATTACCCAGGTAAAGTAATAAGTTTTTCTCAATTAGCACTTCATTGTGTGTGTTTAGTTTCTATTTATAAATCATCTTAAGTGTATAAATTAATTGGCAATATCCTTTTTATGTTCTATTATAAAAATACCTTACTTTAGAGGCCTAGCAGGAAAAGGCCTACATCCATAAATTAGACAAGGATATTTCTCTTACTTTCCAAATGAGCACTTCAAAAATTATGCTTATGGCAAATAAAAAAATCAAATTCTGTAGAAAGGCGTGCAAAGGTTGTCTCTTTCCACATAATCTTCCAGTCCCACTTTCCAGAACAAGTTACAGTTTTATTGTTCATAGTTTATATTCTTTATAAATTGTGTTTGAATATTTGCATCTTTTTTTGATCATTCTATATAATCCCTCTGCAACTTTCCTTTTTAACTTGAAAATGTGCTTTGGAGGTCTTTCTATGTCACCATAGATGGATCTTTCTCATTCTTTTCATGGCTGCATGATTTTATAATGCATGATTTTTATTTTTTCCCACTAGAAAATGAAAATGCTGATTGTAGAAAAATTCCAGAAATATAGAAAACTAATCACTTATACTACTACCACCCAAAGAAAACCAATATTAACATACTGATATTGGTTTTTCTTCTGCAAACATTTTAAACATTGTTTTCATAAACTAGTATAATTTTGAATCCTGGAATAGGGGATTTCGTTTAAAATTACTTGTTACTTTCCCAGTTTGAAAATTCATGATAATTTTGATGTGCTAGATAGTTTGCCCTTAACACAAGCACAAACTGGCTTTCATTTCCTCTTTAGATTGCTTAAGAAAATAGGAGAATGTGGTTTTTGAAAAACCCCCAAGTTTGCTCTCAAGAACACTCCTTAAAAAATTTAAGTTTTTAGGTTTGTATAATTTCATGTTTGTGTTCAAGTGTATTCATATTTTTTCTCTGCTGAATTATAAACCTAGCAGTATGTCTGTGTATGAACCAAATTATTTGCTATTAGTCATCAATTAAATTATGATTATTATGAGTGCTTCCCTTGGCATTTTAATTACATATGTTAATTATGTTATAATTAGCTCTGGGTTCATTGAACAAAGTATGGTCATTTCTGGCTTACTGATTTCATTAATTAAATATTTCCTACACATAATCTGTCAGTATAAACTACTTGTTTGTTTTAGGGATTGCAATTCCATCTCAAGATATTCTTTATACCACTCTGGGAACTCTGATTAAAGAAAGAAAGATTTACCACACTGGAGAAGGATACTTCATAGTTACGCCTCAAACGTACTTCATCACAAATACAACTACCCAAGAAAATAAGAGAGTCCTGGCAGATGAGAGCCACCCAGGGCCCACTTCCATTACGTATCTGGTGAGCGTGGAGAGCGGAGCAGAGTTAGCCCAGGAGAATGCTTCTCCCATTTCCCATTGCCAGTCTTGCCAGTGTTTCCCTGATGTTTGTACTCAGCATGGGCTGGAATCACCAGCTGCTGCAGAAGTGACTCGAAAGGGCCAGAAAGGACTCGGGGAACCCAAGTGTTTGGTGCAGAATCGAGCAGTTTCAGCGTCTGAGGAGAATCATATCCGTGAGACCACAAAACCTTTACCATGTACAAAAGATAGAGAAAAAGGCAAGCGATTTGGCTTTAACCTCTTCTGGCGCAGCATATCCAGAAAGGAGAAGTCAAGAACAGAGCACAGCACTTTCTCTGCCCAGTTCCCGCCCGAAGAATGGCCTGTTCGAGATGAAGATAACTTGGACAACATACCTCGAGACATTGAACATGAGATAATCAAACGAATTAATCCCGTTCTGACTGTTGACAACTTAATCAAACACACGGTCCTAATGCAAAAATATGAAGAACAGAAAAAATATAATAGTCAAGGCACATCCACTGATATGCTGACAGTCAGACATAAATATCCTTCGAAAGAGGGAGTCAAGAAAAAACAGGGCAGGTCTGCAAAACTTCGAAGGCGGGGCCATCCTCGTAGGGATAGACACAAATCCAGGAGTCAAGGAAGCGAGCCTGGAAGCATAAGACTAGAGAAACACCCCAAGCCTCCTGCTACACAATCCAGCTCGAGAATTAAAAGCACAAATGAAGCAGTTCAGAAACCACTTGGTGAGAATTCAGTGCTAGCTTCCCATTTGGTTTACAAAAAGCGAATCAGCAATCCTTTCCAGGGTATGTCTCCCCGAAGGAACCCAATAACCAAAGGTCACAAACTCCAGAAGACTAGTGACCTGAAACCCTATCAGATGGGACCAAAGGGAAAACCTTTCCAAAGATTAAGGTGTTTGAAGTCTTCAGGAATGTTTGAAAGTGAAGCCAAACAGCCATATGCTGAACAATGTAATGAGAAAATGAAAGTAGAACCCACTTATATGGATAACTCTACTATCAAACCTAACAGTGATGACTTTAAAGATCACCTCTTAAATTACCCCCAAGGTAGTGTTTTGCAAAATGATAGTAAATGCTCTTCCTTTAAGGAAAGCATGTTAGGCTATAATGGGTATAGTGGAGAAAATGAGGTAGGCCCCGAAATTTTGAGAAAATGTTATACTCAATTTGTCACTTTAGAGGAGATGAAAGAAATACAACATATCGTGCCAATGCGAGGTTCCTCCTCTTTAGACCAAACACCCGCTGCTTGTGAGTTAGTGGATAAAACAACACACCAGTTTCAAAAGCTTGGTCTTTTGGATTACCCAGTTGGTGCAAATCATGTGAGACAACCCAAGAGACAAGACAGAGACTCAGAGGAATTAATAGCAAAGGCAATTGTCCCTGACACAGAGGCGGTGAGTCTAGAAAATGAAAGAATTTCTGAGGATGACCAGACCTTGTATCAGAATGAAGTGGAAGATGATGATGGTGCCTGCAGTTCATTATATCTTGATGAGGATGACTTTTCTGAGAATGACGACTTACGTCAAATGCAGCCTGGGCCCATTCAGTATTTGTGTAGAGGCGGAAGTAAGTGGAATCATTTAGGAAAACAGATGACCCAAGGATCTCTGACCGAACACAGTAGCAATATACATAGTTTCGAGCCTCAGGTCCTTAAAGGAAATGAATGTTACTTACCCACTGGGCTGTGCTCTAACACCAGTGAAAGCCAAAAACCTAGTCTCTCCACTGAAATCTGTGATATCAATTCAGGGACCCAGTCCAGTTTTGATTATGAGGAGGCATCCAGTGTTGCTCAATGTGTACTAGCCTCAGCCCCCGCTGATAGAAGTATGTTTGATTACTATAGCACAAGAAAAGCTAATTCTGGGGCTGAACCCCTACAAGACTCTGTTGGTGACACAGGAAAGAAAGCAGCTAACTGGAGTCAGGGTCCTCTGAATCAGGAAATGAGAACACAAGTCACACAAAAGTTAGAACTTTTTGAAACTTCACATATGCAGGTGTTGGCTCAGGATATCCAACAGGAACACTGCCATGTGGAAGGAACAGAAAATCATAGCATGGCGGGAGATAGTGGAATAGATTCTCCACGGTAAGTGCCCATCAAAATGATCAGCCACTATCAACACACAGGAATTATCAAAACCAGAGGCATACTGAGTTCCCTAGTGGGAGATTAATCCTGAGCAAACTGTGACACACTTTTGCCAGTCCTTACTGAATAAATTGTATGTACATTTATATAAAATAGGATGAAATTAACTTTGAATGTGAGCCAAATTTGATTTTTCCACTACTGCTAATTTTGAATTATTTCAAAAATTAGGATGAAACTGCTATAAACCAAGCACTTCCTGAACTGAAGACTGAACGATTCATTTGTATTCCTGGATAGACACAACTTGAGAAAGAACTCTACATTATTTTCCATGCCAGTTTGTTTCAATAAGATTGTTCATATTATGGAAATAATATGGTCACAGTAGAATATTTGAAAGTCTTGAAAAGAATTTTTGAAAACACCTATAATCACCCTAACACCTAGATAAGCTTTTTTTTAAAAGATTTTTTTTATTTATGTGTACAGAACTAAGGTACAGGCCAGAGGTGCAGGGGTGGTGAGAAGATTCACCAGTGATGGAGTGGGGAGCAGAACAGGCAGACTGATGAAGTACACTGCTGAGGGGAGCAGCGGGCAAGACAGGAAAGGTCTGCCATTCCATGTGGGTCACTTACCTCACTGGGGATCGAACTTACTATGAAGTGGCTGCTGCTAGCTTGCAGTCTTCGTCCTAACCCAATGTGCCACCAGGGAGGACCTAGATAGGCATTTTTAAAAAATATTTTTATTTGATAATAATAGCTTCACTTTGAACAACAGGTCCTTCTATTTAGTTTATTGGGCACATGATGTTAAAATTATTTTGTATGTTGCTTTTTTTTTCAATTACTGTTTATCATAAATATTCCCCCATGCTTTTAAATGATTTTCAGATAGGTCACGTTAATTTGGTATTTGTATTTATTTGTATATGTATAAATTTGGTATATGTAATAATGTTGGTATATGTATTTGTTATTTTTTATTATATAAAATTGTGTACCTCCTTTTGAATATAGGAATGTAAGAAGTAAAATTAGAAATCTTCATTCCCCAACTTTCCATTCTCATTCCATAAAAGTGACCTATACATTGTTAACAATTTACTTTCAAGCTTTTTCCTGTGCAATTATAAATGTATTTTAAAACAACAAATCACACTGAACCATGATTTCCTTTTTTTCTTCTAACATATCAATCAACATATGTAGGTCCAGCTTATTTTTAAAGATTACTCATTAGTATTCCATTATGTGGTTATTTATATAACCATTATTTCCCATATCAAAATATATTGTTCCAAGAGTAAACAACTGTGGTATAAACCAGTAAACCAACAATTTCTTGTCTTTGACTCTGGCAATAAAAACAAAAAAAATCTCAAAACTATTAGGGAAATTACTCCTTGATGTGTATCCTTAAGAATTTTAGCTTGTGGGGCCCTCCCTGGTGGCGCAGCTGGTTAAAGTGCAGCATTAAGAAGCTAAAGCCACTTCAGCATGAATTCGATCCCTGCCCTGGAGGTGACCACATGGTGTGGCAGACCTCTCCCCCTGCTTCTCCCCTCAGCAGTGTACTTCATCAGTTGTCCTGTTCTACTCCCCACTCTGTCTCTGGTGAATCCTCTCACTGCCCCTGCACCTCTGGCCTATACCCCAGCTCTGTATGCATCAATAAATAAATCTTTAAAGAAAAAAAAAGAATTTTAGCTTGTGAAATCTTGAGACATTCAATATCTTAATAATTGCTTACAATGCAGTTTTTTAAAAGGTTTTTTTAATATAATTTTTTTAAAGATTTTACTTTTTTATGTATACAAGAACTGGGATACAGGTCAGAGGTGCAGGGGTTCAGGAGTGAGGGGATCCACCAGATACAGAGTGGGGAGCAGAACAGGCGGATTGACTGAAACACACTGCAGAGGGGAGCAGCAGGCAAGACTGGAGAGGTCTGCTGTGCCATCTGGGTTAGCTCCTTAGCTGGGGATGGAACTCATGCTGCAGTGGCTGCTGATAACTTCACAATGCTTGTGCCATCAGGGAGGCCTAAAAGGTTTATAATTACCTAAGATATCCAGAGAAAAAGGGAGAAAACATAACATTTGTACATCAATTATGTTGTTATAAAGATTAGGGGAGAAGAGAAGAACAAGACATTGTTGCTACTGGAAGTTTATGATTTAACTGAAAACAAATTTAAGGACAAAATAGCAAAAGAGATGTGGAATTAATAGTGATGGACTGACTGTGTGGGGGAAGACTCTCTGGAGGACACATTTGGAGACATGCCTTAATGGAGAAGTGAGGAGAGGAATAAGGTGGGAGAGGTGAAATGTCAAAAGTGAAATACCCAAAAACCAGAAGTATAACTCGGTAGAAGCAAGTCAGACCTGTTAGATAAGGAACTAATACAGCTTCTAGCTCCTTGTAAAGGAACATTGTCAATACGAAAAATGTTATACTGTAGCCTTTTTCCTATAGCATGATTTCTCAAAAATAAAAAGAAGAAGAAATTAGCAGTTCATTTAATCCTAGTTACTTATTGGTTAAGTCTCAGCACTACCACCACAAAGCCTGAATTTGATCCCTGGCTGGGAACTAGCACACATGACGCAGTTGGCCTCTTCTGTCTTGCTGCTCCTCTCAGCAGTGTATTTCAGTAGATCTGCCTGTTTTTGTTCCCCACTCTCTCTCTGGTGGAGCCTCTCACTCCCCCACCTCTGGCCTATTCCCGAGTTCTTCTATATAAATAGCTAAAATCTTTTTAAAAAATTACCCAGTGAGAGGTACTAGTCACTTTGTTATACAGGAGTTTTTTTTATGGAACTTGTTTTCAAATATAATCTACTTGAAATTGAATCTGAGAACAGATGCATTTCAGGAAAATCTGAATTCTTAGAAAGCATCTGTCAAATAATTGAGATGTTATTGAAAAGCCTCTAAAATGTAGAGCACTGGTTTTGTGACGGCTAGCTTATTTGGTAAGTGGATGTGAGTGTTAATGTTACGTTGCTTCAAAGTAACAAATGAAGGTATAATGTCTTACTAGAAGTCCAGGTCCCGGTTTAAGGTAATAATTCTATTATTTTTAATATCTTTAGGACACAGAGTCTGGCATCTAACAATTCAGTCATTTTGGATGGACTAAAAAGAAGACAGAATTTTCTGCAGAACTTTGAAGGCACAAATAGCAATCAAACACTTGCACCCAATTCCTTACTACAACTAACTCCAGTTATAAATGTTTAGTTCTTATTTTTCTTTTGAACACATTTGTAAAAATGTATAGCATCAATACTGTTTTTAATTAACTGAGTATGTAAGAACTCTCTAAAGTCAAGCATATGTGATATTAATCTTTTCCTTCTCTTTATCTTTATTTATTATTTTAAAATTTAAAAAGATTTTCTTTCATTATAAGTCCTCTTTCTATAGTTATTATTCCCCTTATGTGCGGTCTTCTCTTTTGTTCTAGTTACTGGCTTTTCTCTCTTTTTTTTAACAAAGGTTTTTTGTTTTGTTTATTTTACTGTGGATTTATTGAGAAGATATAGTTTGCAATAAAAATACATTGAGCCATTGGTCCTCGTTCCAATTAAATATAATTTTCAGACATTCTTTGGTTTCTCACATTCATAGCTTCACCCAGCAGTGAGTTTCTCAATGCACATTACTACTGAGTTCTTATGTTCAGTGGATCTTCCCAGAATTCAATATAAAAATCCAGAAAATAGGGTGATTGGGTGATGGGAAACCCAAGGGGATTGCAACTGAGATGGAAAAATGCACAAACATATGTAAAAATAAACTAATATAATAATAAATTTTTTTTAATCCAGAAAATAATGTTTTGGGGTTACATGGGCATTTTGTTTGCAGCTATTGTCTTACCATTATCAGAAAGGATATATATAGATGTGATCGGTTCTTTGCAATAAGTATTCTTCCCCTCTAGTCATTGCAACTAAGGATCTTCTCTGCAGTCAGCTTGAACTCTCAACAAATGTCTGTACATTAAGACTGACATTGTCCAAAATACCTGTGGCAGTCAGCATCCTCCTGTTTCTCTGCTTCCTTTCCACATTTAAGGGGCTCTCGGCAGCATGACAGTGAGAAGTCAGGATGTTCTCATGTGGTAGAGATAAACAAGAAGGCATAACAGTTATAAAGTGACTTGTGAGTGAAAGGGAGATTATGAATTCAAGATGGACAATGACCAATCATTCATCTGTGTTCAATTCATTTCCACTCATGAAATGACCTAGGTAGCTTTTCAGAAAAATTTCTGGCAGACTTTTTCAGACCAAATAGTGGAGTGATCATTTCTCTTGGGTTAGGGGGTGTGGGGCAGTTAAACAGGTTTTAAAATATTGGTAGATGTTAACATCCACCAATTATTGAAGGATATTTTTTTCTAGGAGTTTCTAGAGATTGTCAGACTCTTAGATCTCAAAAATCATTGAATACTTGGGAGAATTACCTCCTTCCAACTTTTTATCATCATGATTAAATAAACCAGAATGAAGCCCAGCACTGTGTAAAAGCTGTCTTCAGGCCCTCTGGGAGTTGGGGGTGGTGTGGGGTGGGAGGTAAGGGGGGAAGAGGAGAGATCAGATTCCCTGCTCTTTCTCTTTTTTTTCTTTTGCAGTGGTTGAATCACTTACTCCTGACTATTGGTTTTCAGTGGCCCTGACCAACCTACCATGGCATTCCAAGAAGATTAGATTAGTCATAAAGATATTCAAAACCTTGGGCAATGTAGCAGAAAGGATAATCCGGATAGAAAAGCCTGTGGGGAGGATTGTTTTAGGGGTCTTGCTGCGTGGAATTAGCATCAGTGAATGGAAGTTAAGAGAAGGATTTCTGCTCAGTATGAAGAAAGTGGCATTAGAGAAAGCTATCACTAAATGAGATAGCTTTGTAAATGAATTTTTCCATTATTTAGAGTATTCAAGCAAAGGCTTGGTGATTTGGTATATTACAGAGGTATTTAGTTTAAGCGGACAAATAAACTAGATGATTTTGAAGATTCCTTCCAAGTCAGGTTTTTGTGCTTTTTAAGATTCAGTGACAATTACATGTCAAATATATCTCAATTAAAAATAATTAAGTGAAGATCCTGTGAAATTCTGAACTCATGCAAGATTACTGAATATTGCTTCCAGTTTTGTATCAGTCACAACACTTGCCTGATATGTAATTGTTATTACTTTGTCCATTGTTTTCACCAGGTTTTGGGATTTGTCCATTAAGACATTTAGTTTTTAAGTGACAAGTATAGAAAATACCCTCAATCAAAATTGAGGGGCGGTATTATGTCTTTAGATAATAAGCTTTCAGTTATTATGCTATAAAATAAGAATAAGACATACAAAGCATGACATTATTATAGATATTCTTACAATGAGAAATCCTTTTTATCCTCTCTCACCTGGATCTCTGACCCCCTTAGGAATCCTTAGAGAGTAGCTGGGTCCTGCAAGCTATTTTCAAAATTGAAAAAAACCCAGGGGGCCTTCTTTGTGGCCTGGGGGTTAAGTCTCAGCCTTATCACCACTATGGCCTGAGTTCCATTCCCGAGCAGTGAGCTAACCCACATATGTCACAGCAGAACTCTGTCTTGCCTGCTGTTCCCCTTAGCACTGTATTTCAGTAAATCTATCTGCTTTGCCCCTCACTCTGTCTCTTGTGAATCCTCTTACCCCCTTCACCTCTAGCCTACACCCCAGTTCTATGCAAAAACAAGAATAACCCTAATGCAAACTGCACATTTCATTTTAGGAACCCTTTGGTAATTTCTGGCTTCTTTCTTCTGTCATGGCTGAAATTAACCAGCCCAGTAATATAACACACTCATGTGGTATAATACTGTTAAACTGTATGTTATTCATATACTAGAAGACTAAGTCAATTGTTGCTTAATGCAATTTAGTAGACAAAATATTAAGATTTCAGATCTATAAGGAAAGAACTGTAAACAGCTATAGTAGTAAAATTATGGAGCTACTGGTTTTCTATAGCTATCTGAGAAGGCTTTGGGGGAATTGGCAAGACAGCTTAAAGGGTCTGGGGGAAAGAGAGGTTATCAAAACAAACGCATGACAACTTTGCTGGCATTTAGGCAACTTGCTTCACTGAAATTTCAGAAACCAAGCCCTGCCTGGTGGTGCAAGGGGCTAACGCACAGTACTATGAAGCTGTCCATAGCAGCCACTGCAACATGAGTTCAATCCCTGGTCAGGGCACTGACCCACATGGCACAGCAGACCTCTCCTGTCTTGCCTATTGCTCCCCTCAGCAGTGTATTCCAGTCAATCTGTCTGTTTTGTCCCCACTCTATCTCTGGTGAATCCTCTCACAACCTGCACCACTGGCCTGTACTTCAGTTATTGTATGCATAAATGAATAAATCTTAAAAAAAAAGAAACTTCAGAAGCCTATTCACTCTTTCAACAGCACATTTCCATTTCTTGGGTAGTGGTGCCCTCTTCTGGAGTATGTCATATGACATCTCTCACCACTTGATTAAAAACATATACAATAATTGACTTAAAACAGTGAGACCTCCTCCCAGAGATTAAATATTTAAAAAGTTTTCCCAAATAATTTGAAATGGGGCTAGACACATACTTATACACGTGCTAAATGTGTTCAAAACTAACAGAAAACACATACTTACACACGTGCTAAATGTGTTCAAAACTAACAGAAAACCTGCAGCTAAAAGTAGAAATTTAAGTAATCTACATCTCTGAGTTACTCTAGCTTATTCAAATTTCCCTGCACAATCAACAGGAAAGGCACTTTACTACAAAACAAACAAACAAACAAACAAAAACAGGTTTTAGCGCTCAGTTGACAAAGTCACATTGTTACTGTAATTTCATTTTTCAGGTCTAGTTACCCAGCCAGAATTGACCCCAGGCCACAGTGGTGGCAGTGCTGACTATCACCAAACCATAGCAGGAACTTTGCTAACTCTTAGGTGAGCTAGCGAAGAGAGGCAAATTTGCTTAGAAAAATAGATATAAGGAAAAGTTTATTAAGGGGAAAAGGAACAGAAACAAAGTGGACTCCTTGCCTGTGGAAACAGGCCAGGGAGGGAGGGGCAAGGACGCTGGAGCGAGTCGTGTCCAGGGGACCACATACCTTCTTTTCCTAATCATCCCAAAGGCCCATTACTCTCTTTGACTGGTTAGTACTCAGGGATCGCACTCACTCTGACTTAATGTTTCTGTGCCCAGAACTGCATCTTGCATCTCAGCCCTTTATCTTAGAGTCCCTTTTCTTCAGTGTTCCCTGTTGCCTCCTAGTGGCAGTGGGGTGTTGATTACTTCTCTGAGGCTTCTTCCTATTCTATTCTGACCCTAGAAGCTATCCCCTTACCCTATGACTCAACATGGCTAGCCATGGCAGAAACTTTTCCTGATCATTTTCTCCTTCCGTCATGGTGCTCTCCTACACATTCTTTGCCTTCAATGTCCCCATCAATTTATAATTGTTCCTTAAATGATTTCTGTCATTACACTTCTGTAACATCTTTGGAGATACAGCACCCAATGCAATGATAGTGAAGGAAAGGATAAACAGATGGGATTACATCGAGGTAAAGAGCTTCTGTACAGCAAGAGACGTTACAAAAAACAGACATCCCACTGACTGGGAAAAAGCTTTCTCACACAAAACTACGATAAAGGAATGATCACAAAGATATACAAAGAACTGATGAAACTCAATAAAAATAAACAACCTCATCAGAAAATGGGCAGAAGAGCTAAAAAGACACTTCTCCAAGAAGAAATGCAGATGGCTAACAAGCATATGAAAAAATGTTCAACATCACTTGTAACAAGGGAGATGCAAATTAAAAACACAATGAGATACCACCTCACCCCAGTGAGAATGGCACATCTTCAAACAACTAGCAACAACAAATGTTGGTGAGGATGTGGAGAAAAAGGAACTCTCCTGCACTGCTGGTGGGAATGCAAACTAGTAGAACATTATGGAAAACTGTTTGGAGGTTCCTCAAACTGCTAAACATGGAGCTTCCATATGACCCAGCAATCCCACTTCTAGGTATCTACCCAAAAGACACAAAAACACTGATTCAAAAAAACACCTGCCCCCCCATGTTTATTGCTGCTTTATTTACAACTGGAAAGACATGGAAACAGCCTAAATGCCCAAAAGTAGATGACTGGATTAAAAAGATGTGGTACATATGCACAATGGAATATTACTCAGCAACCAAACAAAAAAAATAAACACATGCCTTTTGCAGCAACATAGATGAAGCTGGAAAAGATCATGCTTAGTGAGATAAGCCAAAAAG